AAATCTTTATTTGCTATTTTCAAGCTTTATCTGAAACTTAACTACAATAGAATATATAAAGTTTTCTAACCACAGGTTTCTTCTAAACAACATGTGACAAACACTGGATGATTCTCTCTAATGTTCTTCTGATTTCTTCGTCACTTTCATGTAAAGTTTTAATTCATTGGCCAATAAGAGGAACTATTAATGCTAAAATGTAATCAACCTAACTACATCATACTACCAACAGTAGTAAAGAAAGTTTTCCTAGAAACTGTTTTTTGAATAAATGTAAATTCTAATTATAATTAACAAATAATATATGCTTGATTGATGGATTAAAAATTTCACAGGTATCCTAAAAAATTAATTCATGGACTTGACTCAGTTACTATACTTCAGTCTAAACATTTTGCTAAAACTCTCCAGTAATAAATAAAGTTCTCCAGTACAATATTGGATACACAAATCACTTGGATAAATACAAGTTGTTGCTTGATTTATTAAATTAACTTTTTATTCTACAGTTTAATGTCACAACATCATAATTGTATCTCTGTTTCGTAATATACATACAAATACTTAAATTATGTTAAGTTAAATGCTAATACTTCCAGGTAACAGTCTAAATAAACCATGTAGTTATTTTTGTTGGTTCCTCAACTGAACAATGTTACATCCAAGTAACGTACCCATTTATAACTTTCCAAATTATATTTCACAAAAACATAATTGTGCAGTATAGATCTACTTAAGTAATACATTCAAAGAAAACATTTTTCCACATTACTTTTGTAATGCATATAATAGAGGGTTAGGGTTAACTTGCATTCTGCTCGTTGAACCCATTTTTATGCATATAAAAGCTCAAAAACCAATGCAAAAAAGATTAATCTATCTCACGCATCTTTATTTTTCTACAGGTCCAGGTCTAGCTATTCGTGTTATATGTGCAGAAGATACTTACATGGAGAAGGATTTTTCAGAAACTAGTGTTTTAGCTAAGGTTATTGTAAATTATGGTAATGCTCTTGAAAAAGTGAGTAAAACGTCTAATTTTGATTTAACAAAAAATTAACACTATTAATTTCATTATTAAATCTCTTCTTTTTAAGTTATATAATTGTCACATATCTTAAGTGTTTAACTTCACACTGTGAAAATGCACAATTTGAAGAAAGATCATGATAATGGTGTTTGTTTGTTTACAACTTAATTTTACCGTTTAAAAAAAAAAACAAAAAAAAAGCGGTTATACTTGCAGCAACTAACAGGATAAAATAAAAAGTTTTGTAATTTGAATTTAACAACTGTTTAAGATTGCATATCAAAAGAACAGTTTTTATCCTACTGGTTCTATTAATAGATCTTAAAATTTCACTATTATACTTTATTTTTAGATTGATACTTAAGTTTGTTGTGTATAGTACTTATAAAGAATATAATGGTGGTTGAATAAACTAAATTTGTAATAGGCACATTATTCCAAGTACTGTCAATAGAAGAATCTTGGATTAGCACATTATAAAACAGTTTAAAAGGGCTGTGGAAATTGTAGCCAAGAAAATGTTTGAATTTAATTTTTTATTTCTCTTCTGTTAAGGATAAGCCTTAATTATAGGTACAGATCAAGGTGCTATAAGAAATAATTAAGAATTTTTGTACGAATAAAAACCCTAAGAAATAAAGCTTTCTTTTCAGTTCTTAAAAAATCTTTGTTACTACTACAATTTTAGTAGTGTTTTCTCTCCATTACTTATTTAATGGGCTTGGCATGGTTTGGTGGTTAGGGTAATCGACTTGCAATCTGCGGGTCCCGAGATTGAATTCCCGCACCAGTCATACTTGCTCTTTCAGTCATGGAGACATTATAATGCAATGGTCAATCCCACTATTCATTGGTAAAGAGTTGACTGTTGACTTGCTGCCTTCCCTCTATCACTTTAAAATTTGGAACAGTTAGTGCAAATAACCTTTGAATAGCTTTAAACAAACTGTGCTAATCACTAACATTACAGAAAATATCACTGGACAATTTAAACCTAATTCAGTAATTCCTTATATAATCACATGAAAAATACTCTATTTTGTGATGTCATTATAGCCTTATGTTTATAATGATGACCACCAAGACACATTTTTGTGTGGAACATGACCTGTAGCCAGATATGTCATGGTCACTACATGAAAAAAATTCTTAATGGTTTGAGATAAGATGTATTGTTATGTGGTAGAGATTCACTACTAATAGTATTACTTGTGGCAAATCACAAATAAGCTTGAATATTTTTTTATTTTTTTTCTAGAAACATGCTCTCATTAATCGTGTACAAAATACTACAAATGAGGAGGAGCAATTTTTTTTAATTAAAGTGTCTCGGGAATACGAGCTGACAACTACACTCATACCCATTCAAAGTGTAGGAGTTCAGGTAAACCAATTTATTTTATTCTAGCAATGATAAGGAAAAAAATTAATTAAATACTAACACAGGTTTCAATTACAGTTTTGTCTTGGTAACTCTGACAATATTAAAGAGATGAAGCACGTATCGATAAAATTTACTAGGTTTTGTTTTTCACAAATTTGCATGTAAAAGAAACGTGAAGGGTAAATCATAAAAATTTAAATAAACATTTTATTGTTTGTACTTGTCATTACCAAAAAAAAAATTAAATAGCTTACGGTTTTACTCAAAATCCAAAGACTTGGTAGTTAATGACTGTATAAAAAATTACTTTAAATTGTGACAGATTTTATGTTTAGACTCATAAACAAGTGATTTTGATTAATTTCTCATAAAGTAGTGTAAGCTGAAGAAGGGAAAATATCAAATATTATAAAAGGAAGTTTTAAAATATTGATAGAATTTAAGAGTAGGATCTAATCTGTGATTTTTACAGCCAATGCTGACTTTTTATATTATGCTAACCTCTTCAGAATGGAAAACGAACATACAGTTATGCACTGGGCCTTTCAAGTAACAAAGAACCAAGAAATTGGGAAGATATAATGGAATTAGCAAAACTTATTCCGAGGATTTCCCATAATATTAACAGGTAACCGTCACTATTTCTACAAACTGCTTTGATAGAACAAATAAGCTTATTTATAAATATTTGAAAACATCTTTGTATCCTCATGAGTTCACTACACAAATTTTACTTTTTCCTGGTGTGTGAAAATATGTAAAGAATAATTTTGTTTGAGATAGTGGCAGGTACATCGTGCCATTTAAAATGGGCTACATTTTCTTGGGGAATAGCAGTTAAGCAGTTCCCTAGATCAGACTGCATTTTGTCATTAACCTTAACTGTTGTCTCTCTAGTGTCATTTCAAAATTAGGGAGTTAGTGCAAATAGTCCTCCTTGTGCCTTTGGTCCTCTCCCGGGTAATAAAACAGTGAATTTTCATTCTCCTTCATTGGTCTAGTGTAGAGTTGGGTTTAGCTAGTTTAGAATTTATACAAGTCTGCCAGAGCTTATGCACCCGATGAATTAGAGAAAACACCTTCCCTCCTCTCTATACCACAGCACCTGTAAGTGCTACATTTTAACTATATGGCATCTTGAGGTGTTATTTCCTCTTACAGAAAAAGAAATGAAAACAAGTACGAAAACATCTATTCAGGTATCTGAGGTTATTATAGATGTTTATTAGAGGTGATTATAGACTTTGAACTACATTTTTTATTGTACAAACAAGCAACTTTTCAAAAACAGTTTTTTTCACTTGTTTTTGTTTCTTGTCTTATAAGTCCACCTAGTAACGAGTACTGTATGTGGTAGACTTTGTTTTTTGTATGCGCTATTCAGCTATGTGTTACCTAATTTCTTATATACAAAGAATGCAGAATTCTTTATGATAATAGAATGTTTTTTTCATAGAGTTGTATACATATGTGGAGATGCAGTCCAGTTTCCTGTGCAGGATATCACTCCAACCTTCCTTACCACAGGGGTTTTAAGTACTTTACGACAAGCTGATTTTTTGGCACAGAACATACTGCATTCTAGTGGCTACTATAATAAAATTTCTCAGATGACTGTTATTCTCATTCCCGTTCATTTTGACCGTGATGTTGTCTCAAGGCAGCCATCTTGTCAACGGTCAGTTGTGATCCGGACTTTCATAACACACAATTATATGATGGGGATTCCAGCCACACCTGATAAACATTTGTCCCTGGAGGTGAGTGACAATATATAAATACAATAAACATACCCTGTTTGGGCAGTTTTTGTATTTTACATTTTTCTCATTTATCCCTTTGCCAAGATACACAGTGAAAAATGAACCATACAAAATCTACCTTGTGCTTTTGATACTTAAATAAATTCTATGAATATACTTACTTCAGCTTATTTTGTCGTAAAGAAGTAAAGATTACAATTCTTTCAAAAAAAAAAACAAGGTCGTTTTTTACTTACCTACATTTTATTTTGACTCAGCTGTTATGTTCATCATTTTTTCTTTTTAAATAACTGATGGGTAAATAAACGACTAGTTAGTGATCTAATATCAAACAGATACTTGATAATATGATTAATAATTGTCTTGATCAAAATCACTTGCAGAAAGCATTACCATGTGGAGATCTTTAAGGTCATAGTTATGACCTTTCGCGATTAAAAAAAATTCTTGAAAAATGTTTAGCTAATTTTTTAGTGGAGGATGGTGATTTTTTTTATTATATTTATACCTAAATCTAAGCTTAACTTTTTATTTCAGGTTATGAATAAGATGGTAGCTGAAATACAAGCAGTTCCAGGTGTGTCTCGGGTCCTCTATGACCTTACACCCAGACCTCCTGGGATGACAGAATGGGAGTGATTACGTTAAATTAGTGTATAACAGAGTATCCTAAAATTAGGTGCACAGACATGTGGAATGAGATGGGGATTTACTGTTGCTCTAAAGAGATACAACTTGGAATAATTGCTAATTTGTTTAATGTTTTGGCTGTAATACATGAAATTTTGAAAGTGGAGATTTTATTTTAGGGGTTTTTCTAAAAAAAAAAAAAAAGTGACAAAATTTAATTGTAGTTACAGTTAGTTTCATTTATATAAATATTAACTAAAATTTTATTTTGTTAAAAAACTGAGAAATGAAGGTTTGAAGTAATATGAAAAGGATGTGTTGTAATGGTTTGAAATAATGGCTCCTGACAAAATAAAGCTTTTTAACTTAATCAAAACTATTCAGCTCAAGAATGAAAAGGTGTATTTATAGAATCATAATTGCTTTTAAGAAAAACTATCTTGTAAATATTGAAATAATTCTTGAGGGAGAGAAACTTGCTTTGGGTGAGAAGGGGGGGGGGGTTCTCATGTTGTCTGAATGTGTCTTTTTTTATCAATATGTTATGTCAGTTATTTGAAAAAGTAGACAAATAGAATAATAAAGTACAGATATAGACTTGTGTTTGTATAATCTTTGAAATACGTATTTGAAGTCAGAAACAAATGTTTGAAAGCAAGTACAGTTGACTTGACAAAAAAATGTACTTCTCTGGACATGGAAAGAGCAGTAATTAACATTTCAAGCTGGTGGTATATACAACTTAGTTCAAAGTTGCTTTAAGTTGGTAATTAGAAAGAAAGTATCCTTTCAAAAGCTTAATTATTACTAATTTTTCAGTAAATCATTGAAAGTAAAAAGAACAAATTAATGTTTTATATTTGATTTCTGTTTTGATAGTATAAAATGACATGGGAATAATGCCCTCAGAGAAATTTATTTTATTACATTTCATATCTGTTTTTAAGGTAAGCCTTTATTTGGACTGCAGAAGATTGTTTACAAAACAAAGATTACAAGCTAACTAATACAACTGTGTTTGGAACTCTGAAAAGATTAATTTCAATTCCATCAAATTTTTATCTCGGCTAGCGTTAAACTAAGCTTTAGCGAACGTTAAACAGAAGTGAAAATTCTTACCAGATTAAAAATTTTGTAGATTTTGTTAATTTTTGAGACTCATGAGATGGATTAATGTTTTGTAATTTTTTTTTTCTTCTTCTTGATTGCTTATCTGGATTTGAAATTCATTTCAAAGTTATCTCCAATATAAAATATTAGTCTTCAGCAATGAAATATGGACAAAAATTACAACATAATTCACCTGGAAAGTTTAGATTTTAAAATCCAAGTGAAGTTTTTCAATCAGCATTTTGATGATATTGATTTTATAAGTGTAGGTCTTAAAGACTAATATAAATTAGAAAATATATGTTAAATTCTAAAATACTTTTAGATCTTACATTGGATAAAAGATACAACGCGTATGAACCAAGATTGTTCTAAATTATGGTTTGCTGTAGGCTTTTCAGTTACAGATACAAGAACAGGTACCAATAACTGTTGTATAGAAATAACAGGTTGTTTTTTTTTATATAAATGTTCAGAAGGAACAAGAGAGAGTTTCTTTGAATCTACAAGTTTACTGTGATTCAGTCACTAAGGTTAGCATTCGAACTAGATGAGTGTGAGCTGCGAGACAGCTTATGTTGATTGTGTGGTTATAGTAAATGTTAGTGTTTGTCCAGCATCTGAAGCAGCAACTGTAAAGAAAAGGTGATTTGTTTTTAATTGGAAAAAAAAAAACTTTCTCCTTATCGTTAATATTATAAGCCTAAAAAATTATTTTCCATTAAAAAATTACAGCAAGTAGGAACTCAACATACTTGAGCTGCAAGAAAATAAATATGTTAAATTACTTAACCTCTCTCTCCCTCTTTCTTTAATAGCTAATTTATCTGAATATATTTATGTATTCACTTTTTTTTACTGTGTAAATGTCAAGGTGTCCATCTGTGATATTATCATAAAAGTCCGTTTTTCTACATTACCTCGATCAGACTGTGTTGTTTCTTGATCTACATTAATCTCATTATGTGCTGACTTGTTAATTACCCATCTGCTTAGAACTCATCTTTCATGAAATAATTACATTTTTTTTTAATCATTGTTAGTTTTACTGACTACTCTGCAAACAAATTTAATCTCAATTTTTGATAGAAGTTCAAGATTTGTTTCTGCTCATACTTCAAGGTTTGTGTGTTAGTTGAAGAGCTTATTTTCAGTGAAACAATATTTCAGTGGCATATGTGTTATTTTGTCTTTTTGTACGTTTCTTTGCTAAAACATGCTATTTTGCAAATTAGCAATCTCAGCTACAAACAGTCAGTCTTTGAGAAGCAAAATTAAACAATAGGTTGAACAATTGCCAAGTTTTTTATATTTTTATTCAAAGAAGGATGACGTTTCGAGCTAGCGCTCTTCATCAGATTGTCTTTGAGAAGCAGTCAAGGCATTCTGAAAAGCAAAGAACTAGAATTGGCCCTGCTGGCAGAATTTCTCCATCTTTCTACTTCAGTCTTTCACTTCTTGCATCAGGCCCCAAGAAGATTTGAACTGTACCATTTGAATTAAGCATAATTACTAGTTGTACATGAACACCAATTTTTACCGTTGTTTACAGAAATATGTCTTTACTAGATCTTTCCACAGTTTATTAACAACCTAAAACATTTCAGAAATAGTAGAATAGTAGCTTCAACTCGATGGTTGTTTTCTAACATGTACGTAACCTTCCTAAACCTCTTCCTCCAAAATCTCCATGTGAACATTTGAATAGGAACTACAGATGAAACAGAAAAAACAACGACAGGAATCTGACAGGAGACAAATGTAATTCACAACTTCATCTAACAGTATATTTAGGAATAAGGTACAATCAATCATAAAGAAGTGTTAATTTACGGTAAATGGTGATGAATATCCTTATTAAAATTAAGAATGATTTTCGATGGTTAATTTACTATGGAATTGATCATATTTAATATTAGTAACAAATAAATTAGTTCTTGTTTTTCAATGTGGTTGAAGCAATGTTTATCCTTGTTTTCCATCTTAGTGTTGCTATAAAGTTTACAGTAAGTTATTTCTGTTGAATTTCTGCTAATGATAACACAATGTTTATGTTTGTCCAGTGGCATTTTTTTTTCTTTTGTGTCTGATTTTAAAACAATAAAATCTTGATTAACATTGAGAATTTTTGTAATATGCTGTATTCATTTGTGTATGTTAGTTGACTTGGGGTAGATATGAGGTAAACTAAGAGTGGGAAGGGGGTCCAAGGTTTATTTGACCAAGTGAAGCAAGGGAAGGTTCACCTCAGGTGAACTCATTATGGCTGGGGTCCAGGGCTTGCCTTAGGGCCCTAGAACCTCTTAGGTTCCAAATTAAATGTATTTATTCTCCTGCTTTTCTTGAAAATAATTTTCCTAATTTTGATGCATTTTCACTGGGACAGATTGAAAAGTGGGGTCCTCGCCCCTGCTCTCCCTACACCACTTTATATGGCTTTATTAATGTCACTTTGTGTTGTTCAAAACAAATTAGAAGAGAAAGTTGAGGACAGAAAATAAGAAACAAGTGTAAAAAAAATATACCTATATTGATATTTGGGTATTTCAGGTGGGGGGGGGGGTTAAATATAAAATACTACATTAATAAGATACAGTTCTGTAAGTTAATAGCAGAAACTCAAAAACTAAATATGTATTTGAAAGAATATGGATTGTAGTCCTTGTTTTTGTTTTGTTTTTTTGGTTTGTTAAATAAAGTTTTTTAGAAACAAGACAGACTTGTTTATTTTTTTCATTTTCTATGGTGTGTCATTTTTAGATTGGCTTAAAAGAGGTTTAGTGAAAAACAAATGATGAATTTGTAACGTTTTGTTACTTTATTAGGTATTGAAAATAAATTATGTGAAGATTGATGTTATTGTTAAAGTCTTGGGTAAAATTTTTCTTTAGTTTGAATTGTATATGTACTGCTATGTTTCAATCACTTATTTCCTACAAAATAGCAGAACTTTATCTAATAAGATTTTTTTCTTCAGCTGTCATCACAGAATGTTTGTTGTTGTTATACTTGAATGATGAATTGTATTAAACCCGTTAAAAAGTGTACCAAACATGTGAATACTATGAAATAATCTAACAAATTTGATGTGATTTAGGCTACTTATACTGATTATATACTTCAATCATATATATATTTAAAATTGAAACGTTTAAAGTAGCTAAAGCTTTGCTTATGAAATTAAATTTGAAGATCAATCATTTTGTATACTGTAGGTTCCATTTAGTCTGATGTAATAACATGCATTAGCTGTTTTCTGTGCTTGGAACTTTTTTAAATAAGAAAGATTAAACATATCTTACAAAATATTCATGTTATATTTAATATTAAAAGTTGAAGATTTTTAAAATTGCACTGTAGAGTGGTTTTCAACCCTAGTTAATGGGTATAACAGATTACACATGCAAATTTAGTGTGCGTGCTTCTTGTGTTTTAATCTTACAATCATAAGTTTAATATGCTGCATTGCATAAAACTGAAGCTTCCATTGTTGATATTTATGTTTATGAGGGTGAAATGCTTATTAATCTCAAAACATTAAAGTTTAATAGACAAGTTTGACAATTTACCCATATCATTAATAATAAGCAAGTGAGTTGGAAGTAATTAGAGAGAAAATAATTTTTCACAAAATAATCTAAATCTGATATTACAACAATTTTGATCATAATACTTGGGGGAAAATTGTGAAGTAACAAAGTTAACCAAGATTTATGTTATGTTCTTTAATAACTGTTTATTGATGTACTTTATTGTACAGAGCATCTAAACATTCTTAGATATAAGCTGTGTAATGTCATAGATTTAAATCTTAAGAAATGTTTTCATCACCTTTCTTTTTCTACTTAGATACTTTTAACTTGTTGTGCTTGAACAGGAAAGCCTTAAAACATGTGTAGCAGACTAGGCATTGCTTGCATGTTACTGTTAAAACAGGAAATCCTTAAAGCATGTGTAGCAGACTAGGCATTGCATGTTACTGTTAAAACAGGGAATCCTTAAAGAATGTGTAACAGACAAGGCATTGCATGTTACTGTTAGAACAGGAAATCCTTAAAGCATGTGTAGCAGACTAAGCATTGCATGTTACTGTTAAAACAGGGAATCCTTAAAGCATGTGTAACAGACAAGGCATTGCATGTTACTGTTAGAACAGGAAATCCTTAAACTTTCTCTTATTAATCACATTAAAGAAAGTGCCAAGATATTTTCTTTTCTTAATGTGATTTACCACCTTTTTTGTATCTTACATGCGTGATAACAATAATGAACATTTTATTATATGAATGTGTGCAGCTGATACTAACTTTTCTATTAATCAAAGATTCGTACATTTCCATCAAAAAACTACATTGTTTTATTAGGAAGAGCAACAAAATTGTACATTCCATACTGTGATAGTCAGAAATATTTAGTTAAACATTGATATTAGTTGGCAATTTAAAGAGAAAATTAGTTTGTTACCATTAATGTTTTATAAAAACTGTTAATGACTCTTTAGTTACCAAGAAGAAAAAAAACGTAGCTCCTCTTTATCATAGACTATGTGATGAAGAACAAGTAAGCAAAGGTTGATTAAAGAAATTAGCAGGTGTATAAAAACTGTTATAAAATATTGTGGAACTGCACATTTTACTCGTTAAATGTTTATTACGAACACCCTCTGCTAGCAAGTGTTCAGCTGAGAAAGCCAGGCAGAGCCTTTCTGATGTAACGTACTGATGACTGGCTGCTCTCCTTGTGGTCAGTAGTTCAAAATTAGGGCTGTACCTGAATCCTATACATCTCTGACCTGGTTATTTAGCCCACATATACATAAATTACCTGATCAGGCTGAAAGTTCCATTCTTTTATATGCATCTTACCTAATGATTAAATCCCAAAGAATTTTATAGCAAATTGGAATTCAGTTATCTATGTTAACCAGATGATAAGTCACCCAGAAAAGAAAAAAACGTCTAGATTTAAAAATATGTACAATCATTGAAGGTTAAAATTGGAACTTATGAGTAGGGCAATACTTTAGAAAGTTAATTTGTCATCTAAATATGCTGTTTTCAAGATCCAAAAGTTTGGAAGGCAGGCAAGTAGAAATTAGCTTTTTTATTTTATTAAGAGTACTTGGATTAAACCTCATTTATAAACAAGATTTTCTTGATTGAAGACAAATATCAAATTAAATAGTGAAGTTGATGCACCTATCATGACCCCCTACAACACACAAGGCTGTTGTTTTTAGCACGAGAAAGTGTAATATTGTAGAATTCAACTAGTATATATCTCATCCTAAACCTGGTTGTGGTTCTGTGTTAAATTCAGTAGAACGTATTATTGTCCATTTACTGTTTCACCAGATAGTTGTATTGTATCCTGGTGTGTAGAGGATTGCTTACAACTGTGGTATGTAGTAAAGATAGTTTTGATTTTTTTGTGATTCAGTGTTCTGTTTGGTCAGCTTCAAGGAAAATATGTATTGTGAATGAAGTTAGACATTTTTCAGACAGATGGGTTTTTGACCATGTTTTAACCTTTTAGCCATTTTATTTGCATTTTGTGGAGTGGTCTTTACTTAGCCTTTAAATACAATATACTTTCGGTGTGCAGTAAGCCTTTCTATCTTGTATGATCAATCATTATTCTCTTCTCTTTCAAAAAATAAAGCATTTATTTTTGCT